GCAAAAAAAAAATTTTACTTGAAGTTTGACCTGCCCGCACCTTACAAGTCTACCTGAGAATTAAAATACTTGAAAAGTTTTCTAGAATGTTCCAGGGATTTGTTGGAAAATCACTGTCTGATTCACTTGATTAGCTGTATTTTCCGTTTCAATTTAACCATATTGTAACCCAATGTCTACTTTATAAACCACGAAATGTTAGGCGTTTTCGACCTTTCGTTAAACAATTATGACCATTTTCTGCTGAGTTTTCGATCCTTTTCTAAGTATTTACCAGAAAATGAAACTACAGAATTTCGACCTAAAAATTTGCCGATAGATAGCTCTAATCGCCCATAGAATATTCTAAAAGTGTTAGCCAAAAATGATGTTCCTTTTCCAAAATATTGGATTTCCAATTTCACTTGAAAATACAGCTAATCAAGCAAATCAGACGATGATTTTTCAAAAACTCCCGGGGAATACTCTAAAAAATTTTTCAAGTTTTTTGATTCTCAGATAGATTTGTATTCCTACTCATGCTCTTTCTAATGACGAAAACTCGAGCTCGATAGCTATCATTGCTAAACAGATAATAGTTCATTAGTCTATTCAAATTGCTATAAATAATATTGAGTGTTATTCAACTATTTTAACATGAAAACAAAATATACTTTTCGAATTTGAACAGAAATGAAAACAGTCATGTAAATGTATAATAGTGTCTTGCAACTGGCTCAGTCTAGATGCAAACTTCTCGGGTTAGTTGAGAATCCCCGATATGATCTTCTACTTGGAATTGACCCGTGAGTTAACGAGATCTCGATGTTTCAAAAAAATTTTTACTTTTTCGAACTGCTATTTTATATGAAAGCATAGGAGTGAAAACCTGAGAAATTTATTGTATTTGAGAACAGTTTACAGATTTGGAAAGTGATATTGGTTCACTAAAAGAATTCATTTTTTGATGAAAATTTATCTACAGATGATGATGATGAAGTAACTGAATACATAAAGAAGAAAATAAGTTATCAAAAAGGTGAATATATATTATCGTGATGGAAAAGAGTATTCATGTATGCATTCATAATTACGATGTTTGGTACCAACACTGCGTTCTATTTTAGCGACATCAACAACATGCAAACGTATACTTATTGAAGCTGATCGGATTTTAGAAGCAGAAAGACACCATGTGAATCCTAAATCACTTGCTTTTGAGATGATCTCTTGTTTTTTTGTTTTGCTATTTATGAAAGAAACTAAGTCATATATTTTATCAAATAAAATAAAAATCTGAAAACCGTACTGTAACTGTGAAAGTATTTGCTGGATGTCGGTTAACTCCGGCGTGATCAGGCGCGCATATAAAAAGAAAATACCGATCCGAGTCCGATTATGCATAGTAAATTATCTTTACATAATAAAATTCGATTATTTTTTATGAATGAAAGAAACCAACGATAGAGAAGCCAATTAATATTTACATATAATAATCACCAAAAGACTCAAATATATCAAACAATGTACTTACAAGATGAGTACCTCTTGAAGTATTTACAAGTATAACAGATACTATAAAATTTTTGTTCTCATTCTTCAGCTAAGCTAGACTTATCGATTGATTTATAAATATTTTGGTATTTGTCAACAATCGATCTTTAATGTCAACTATAGAATGGTATCAAAAATGTTAGTATCCGATAGTTTAATTTATTTAGATGTAAATAACGTCACCAATGTTTTGAAGAGGAAGAAAGTTTTTATAAACAATATGTATAAGAACCATAATTGTTAATTGTTTATCTAATTCACGTCGAGCTAAAGGTACTATTCGATAGACTATTTTTTGTATATTACGATATGCGGTTCAATCCAAATAAAAATGTTATTAAATAAAGTAAAATATTTCCAATAAAAGATAATTAAAATAAATATTAAATTGAATAAAAAAATTCATTCATTGTTGTACAAATTACAATATTAGTTGTTGATATTTGTTACATGATCATATAAAAATAAACATGGACTTTGTTCAATAATTGCAAATAGAATTACAGAAATTATTATACGATGTGTAATTTTAATATGACACCATCGTTGCCATTAAATTCGACAACAGATTGTAAAATATTGATCAATTGTTGCCAAACAAATACATGTAAAAGAAATCTCATTGTTGTAAGTTGAGAAGCAAATATTCGAAATTTACAATAGAATAATGAATTTCGTATCTAATTAATATTAAATTCAGTTATTATTATGCGAGTTAATAAACTTGTTATTAATTGACCAATATTATTTACAATTGAAAGAATTGTTAAATAAAATGCACATGAAGTTTCTCGAAATGTTGTAAGACTAAGAAAAACAACTATAATTAAGAATTTCACCAACCAAGTCAATAATAAATATTGATATACCAACATAAGTCATTATTCGTTGATTAGTTTGAAGAAGGAACGAAATAAATGATAATGACATTGGTTGTCTTCATTTTACATTTGACTATTATAAAAGTATCTGTTTAGTTTTCTTTAATTACATCTAATTGATAGTCTAGCGTGTTCATGGTAAGAACTTTTTTTAAGCACTAATTCGTACCTAAATCAATATAAGATTTAAGATTACAATAGTTTTCAATCTGTGAGATTCTTTTTTTAAACAAAGAGCAATACTATTAAGATAAATGAACAATCAATTGTAATGTCTCTAATTATTATACATCAGTGAAATATAACTTATTATCGCTGTATTAATTCTCAGAAAAGTGCATGTTGATTAAATAGAAAAAAAAAAGCAATTAATAGAAGAACATTATTAAGACTATTCATTTATATAGAGAACTTTTACATTATCTATTAATAATATTTTTAAAAATGGTACATTTTACAAAAAGAATTTGATAAGCTTGGTAAAACACAATATAAAAGGAATATTAAAGTATAGGGGTAGAAATTTGGACTCTTGCTCACAAACATGACATAACTTTCACTTTTCTTTCATACTCAATACAATATATTGTGATTAATATCTTGTATTACTAGTAGGTAGGAATTCATAAACTGAAACATATATTGATTAATTCCATCTTTTACCACATTAGTAATTCCATCGTATTTCAATCTTATGGGGTTTTACGCTAACAACTTTTATTCTTTTAACGAATCCATATTCTAATATCACAATAAAAAATTAAATCTCTACTAATAATACATGTCGATGGTAGATGATCTTTTAACCAAACAATAAGTTCATCATTGTTTGTTTCATTGAATTTATCATTTTCACATTGAATAATCAAAGTACGAAGATTAATCATATTGTTCACAATATTAAGTAATATTTGATAATTTTGAATTTTAATGAAAAGAATTTCACATTGAATACCTAACGATGAATGACTTAATATAAGACATTGTTCATCATTAAAATATTGATCATATCCTCGTAAATCAAGTCGACGAATTGATTTATTTCGAAATTCGAATGGTAATATTTGTGGAAGAAATGATGATGAACATGAACTAAAACTTAATGAATACAAACAAGGTGTATGATCAAGTAAAAATTGTAATTGAGATTGAATATTATTATCATCATTTATTGAGATAATAAGTGAAGTTAATTGATTAAATTTTGGTATCAAAGACCAAAAATGATCATTAACAGGAAATTTTACAAATAATGTCTGAAGATTAAAAAATTGAATAGAAGATGAAAATACTTCTTCGATTGGTGACATATCATATTTAAGACTATGTACATGATTGTAGTGCATATAATTATTATTATTATTAGGATAAGTTGATTTAAATTTCATTGAATAATTAAAATTAAAATCATCAAAACTATATGGTAATGTATATAAATAAATTGAACTAGAACTATTCATTGAATTCCAATGACATTGAATAAACCAATTATGTTCTTTAATCCAAAATGAACTTTGAAATGAATTAATTAGTTCATCTATGTGTTGTTCACGATTATTTTCATTAGTTAATTGAAATTCCATTCTAAATCGAAATATATGAAGATTAGGTAGATTATTACGAATAATTTTTTTCCATTGATAACCATTTAAAATTGCATTTGTATAATCTTGATCAAGACAACATATATCAACAATTAATTGATATAAATTTGGCATATTTTGTAAGAATTTTATAATTCTATCTTCTTGTATTCGAGATAAATAAAGTTTTAATTTAGTAATTGATAAAAAAGGATATTCTACATCATTATTATCATTCGAATCAATATTGAGTAGAATAGAAAAATATTGTAGACAAGGTGTTTGTTTAAATAAAGCATTGATTTCATTTTGACAATGTTCAATACCCCAAATGAATACATATTTCAATGATGAAGACATGACTGTTGGTACAAGAATATTGTTTTCATCAAAACTAATATTTAAATAACAATAAATCAATTTAGATAAATTCCAAATACTATCAATTAATCGTTGAGCATTGATCTGATCGAATTTAAGATAACAACCAGCAAGAGTTAAATGAGTTAAATTTACAAGATATTTCCATTCTAACATCAATTTGATCATTATCTCATCACAACAAAGATCACATAATGAAAGTGATTTTAAATTAATAAATTGAGAAATAGTTAAACCATGTTCAAGAAAGAGATCGATTTGTTGTGGTGTATCATCATCATTTGAAAGAGTTAAGAAACTTATACAATCGGCTATAGCTGGAAGATATTGGCGACAAATAAGATTAAAATCATATTGAGATATTGATCGAAAATTGAGATCAAACCGTTGAAAATGAATCAAAATCAAATTATTAAAACGAAAATTAAGATCATAAAAGGCTCGAAGAAGATAAACAACAGGAAGATATTCAAATAGATCAAGCAATAATTCATTGGAGAAAGATTCCAAATTCATGAATTTTTTGTTTTCTAAAGTTGCCATGATGAAAAAGTTCTAGAATGACAATATATGACCAATATTAATATTGTTTTCAAACGATGTAAATATACGTAATTTATATGTAAACGCAAAAGTTATGCAACGTCAAATTTCAATATGTCTCTTTACAATGTTGTGAAATAACTCATATGATATTCTTGCGCAATGACTTGATGCTTGTCGAACAAGCAAGTCTTTTTTTGCGTTCTTTTACACAGATGGTAGCGAAAAAAAATATTGATAAAGAGAAGCATTATTTGTATTTAATGCATTCGACGCTTATATGTTGTATTACAAATTAGGAATATGTTTGTTTGAAAACAACATCGGATTAAAAAGAAATAAGACATATTTGTTAGTTGACTAAATTCATAAAAATGTTTACATTCACTCAACATTTTTTAGAATTTTCGAGCTCATCATTAATTTTAACAAAAAGGTTAAGGGAACACCCTTCCTTATCCAAAAAATGTTTTTCGATTTCGAGGTTCTCATTTTTAAAGATGTTTTGAAGTGTCTTCTATGAAGTGCCATAAGAATTGGAACTGTACCAAGCCGTATAAACTCTGAAGAAGCTAAGTTTCGAGAACCCTATCTTGAAAAAGAGTCTATAATTTTGTAGATAGCAATCTTGTAAGTTTATCTGGTTTATTAATTGTCAGAACATTTCTTAGAAATATATTTTTATAGTGATATTTCATGCGCAATAAATGATAGTTTGTGATAATTTAAAATGAACAAAAGACAGGGTGTGGGTATGCGTATGAAAGAAAAGAATACTCAGATCCATACCCATATCCTGTTGGATTGACATTATAGATTTTGGTGTCGGGACGAATTTCAATGCTTTCACCAAAACTTCCATTTGTTTTTTAGTTAGATTTATTTTTGATTTATTCATTATATTTGATATATCGTTTTGTTTTTGTATGTTCTTTTTGTAAATTTTCATTTTCTCTTTTTTTAATTCAATAATTTTGTTTTCATGCTTTCTTTTTATTGATTGTCCTTTATTCTTGTCATATTTGTTCATCTAGTATAAATCGTCTATGTGGTTTCTTGATGGATGGAGGGTGTGGATGTGGATGTTCTTTTTCTCTTCAACCCACACTCACACCTACATCCTTCGATCATTAATATGATGGTATTCATAATATTTTATTTTGACACCTTATCATTCTCCCAGCTAATTACAAAAAAGCATTTATAAAAGTTTCCATGTTTTATTTTTACTTGACAAAAGTTGAAATTTTTTTGGGGCGCCAGAAAGAAACTAGACAATAGCCTATTGTTTACGTTATACATATGAAATAAATTTTAAATAAGTTTCTATCGCTAATTCGAAATCAACCTAGCCGAGCAAATCGAATGGCCTATATTTCATTTTGCTTATCGTGATGGCTATTGCATGAACCATCCTTTAGGAAAATAATATTTGACTGTTTGCCTTGTAAGTTACGCTATCACACAGGAAATCTATCGAACATCTCATATCATAGAAGCTAGTCTTTTGCGTCTGAAATTTTTGCAAAAACTACGTGTTGCACATTTACATTATGACTAGTTGCGTGATCAAAGAAGTATTGTCGAGGGAACTAAGTTGATCTGTTCATATGTGTAGAGAAAGCGAAGAGCCCCTTGAGTACGTCTGTAGAGGGAGCTTTAAGCGGTTCTCAATCGTTTCTAGAGGAGGAAGTTGAAGCTGCCTAGAAGAGCTTAGTCTCCTCTAGTTTCCGTCTAGATGTGCCATTAATTGTGATACATTTTTACTAAGAGAACTTGCTGAAATGTGTGCCAACACTAGTGTAAATGGAAATGTTTTACATACACAAGAATGATGAATAATAAACTATCGGACAGGTCACAGATTTCAATAGAATCTGATAATTCTAGTGATATGAGAAGATTCGCCAGTATTATTTCAGTTAAATTTAGTAGTGTATTTAGTAATGTAGCAATCGATACTCTATGCATTGTTTTCTGACTTTCAGGATTGAGCTAAGCGAGGCTCATGGAGCCGATGCGTTACTTGTTTCATAAAATAAATCGTTTTCATCTGTTCGATCATCTCTTTTACCTATCAAGTACGTAGCTTAATGCACGCTTATATCTAATTGAATCTATATGCATATCTACATCCCTTCAGTGTAGAGCCAAGTGAATCAGGTTTCGATGAACATTTCTTGTTGTTGTGGCGGTAATTACCAACTTTCTGAAACTTATAAACGCGACATAGTAAAATGAATACATTTTGCACAGTAAGTAACAAATTGTAGAATAAAAATAAAGGTGAGAGGTAATGTGTCAAAATAAAGAAAATGTGTGATTCTATGAATAGAATATGAGAATTGAGTTCTACTCATTATGCATTTTTGCACTTTTAATGAGCAGTCATCCTATTCCGCAAAGTTGAACAATCGCGGAACAAGTTCCGATCACGGAATCGTTTCCAGCGATTCCGGAATCGAATACAAACTGAGTCCGCAACAATTCCTAGGAATTCCGTTTAATTCCGGAATTCCCCAATTTAACAACACCGGAATCGGTAGGAATTCCGTCCAATTCCGTCTAATTCCGGAATTACAACTTGTGTTTTTATTCTATCAATCTTTATCGCTGTAACAACCATCCGATTCCGCTTAGAAATTCCGGATTTGAGCGGATCCGGAATCGGTGGGAATTGCTAGGAATTCCCGGGAATTCGGTCCAATTCCGTCTAATTCCGGAATTACAACTTGTGTTTTTATTCTATCAATCTTTATCGATGTAATGACCATCCGATTCCGCTAAGAAATTCCTGATTTGAGTGGAACTGGAATCGTTGGGGATTGCTAGGAATTCCCGGGTATCTCGTCCAATTCCGGAATTACAGCTTGTTTTTTTATTCTATCAATCTTAATCGATGTAATGAGGGTGTGGGTGCGGGTGTGGGTGTGGGAGTGGGTGTGCGTGTGGGTGTCGGGTGTGGGTGTTTGCTGTGGTTGTGTGGGTGCGGGTGGGCGTGGGTGTCGTTGTGGGCGTGGGTGTGGATGATGAGAAGATATCCACACCCACTCCCCCCCTCCCCCCCTCCCCCCACCCTCCAGTTATAAGCCTCAGCCGATGAGAGTGATACCAAGGCTGAGCGATTCCGGAATCACTAGGAATTCCGCGAAATTCCTTCCAAATCTTTGCGATTCCGGATCCGTCCGATACCCGGAATCCTGTCCCGGAATTACATCGAGTTATAAGCCTCAGCCGATGATTGTGGTACCAAGGCTGAGCGATTCCGGAATCACTAGAAATTCCGCGGAATTCTTTCCAAATCCTTGCGATTCCGGATCCGTACGACACCCGGAATTCCGTCCCGGAATTACATCGAGTTATAAGCCTCAGTCGATGACTGTGATACCAAGGCTGAGCGATCCCGGAATTACTAGGAATTCCGCGGAATTCCTTCGAAATCCTTGTGATTCTGGATCCGTCCGATACCCGGAATTACGCCCAGTTATAAGCCTCAGCCGACGACTGTGATGCCAAGGCTGAGCGATTCCGGGATCATTAGGAATTCCGCGGAACTCCTTCCAAACCCTTGCGATTTCGGATCCGTCCGATACCCGAAATTCCGTCCTGGAATTACATCCAGTTATAAGCCTCAGCCGATGAGAGTGATTCCAAAGCTGAGCGATTCTGGATCCGTACGACACCCGAAATTCCGTCCCAGAATTACATCCAGTTATAAGCCTCAGCTGATGAGAGTGATACTAAGGCTGAGCGATTCCGGAATTACTAGGAATTCCGCGGAATTCCTTCGAAATCCTTGCGATTCCGGATCCGTACGATATCCGGAATTGCGTCCCGGAATTACATCCAGTTATAAGCCTCAGCCGATGAGAGTGATGCCAAGGGTGAGCGATTCCGGAATCGATAGGATCTGTTGTAAATGATTCCGGAATTGGATTGTGGCGTGGTTGAATTGAGTTCCGGAATCGGTGGAATCGATTCCGGGACGGGAACTGATTCCGGAATGTTCAACATCGCGGAATGGGATGTATTCTCCTTTTAATAGTCATACTAAAGTATAGTATATATAAAAATCTTACTCTCCTATCCTTGTAGAATTTATACAAGACTTTCCTTCAGTTAGAAAAGACAAAAGAAACATTAGTTAGATATTTCATACTAGTATTCGCTTTGACGCACGTCTTAATGAATGCGGATTTTAGATATTTTTGAGAGTAGTCAATCTATAAGATATACTAATTAATTTTGTATATAACGTTTGATCATTCATTGAAAAAGTAATGATTTCTTTCCTAAAAGTGCTTGAATTACATATTCTTTTTATAGAAACTGCAGATATAAATAATTAGATCTTTAGGAAGTCATGTTTTGAGAGTGCAACAGACCAACGTAAATAGAAATATCGTTCTCATCGTTAGATTGTCACTTTTAATGGAGTATATATAAAACATATTAGGTATCACATCTTTTAGCTACAAAATATTAGTAAACTTATGCACATTGCAATATAAAACCGGAGGTTCATATGTTGAAGTTTTGATAAGTAAATTTTGCGTAAACTCTCGATAATCATCATTAAGAACAAGAGTTTAATCAAGTCTTTATTGTTA